TTGGCCAGACTGGATTGAAACTGGAGTCAGAGGAGAGGAGCCCAGAGGCGTGGCTTCAACTTCAACCCAGTCTCAAGGCCATGGCTGTGATAATACCATCTCTGGACCATCCTGCAAACCCACTCTGGAAAATTTATAGCTTATTTGTAAGATTATTCTCATACTTTATGAATCCAAAATGTTGACAGCATAATTCCAAAATATGTAAGATTTCTCTAGAAAAAGAGTAATGACTAGCTCTATAATCCCGAAGCATATGCTAAATATAAAGTACAGATCCAACATGTTTAATTTTGTCATGTATATAATTTATGTTAGGCAAGATTGACAGTTAGTATCTATGATTCTATCATAGTTAACCTCTCGTAATACAATGTAAAAGGCAATTCTTATTTATGAATTATATAGAAAGCATATTTTAAAATGTTTTAGTCTATTGTATTAAACTGATATTTAATATATTTCTGCATTTTACTATAAATGAATTAAACAATTTGTCGTCAAATAAAGTTCTTCAGAAATAATGTTTGGTATAACACAAGACTTAACTTAAGTAACTGAAAGTAACACAGCAGCTCACATTGCTATAAGGCCTTCATGTGCTAAATAAACTATAATCCAATATTACACAATCTCTGTGCAATTGAAAGACTAAAGTTAAACAATTCTGTATCTTATTAAACAAGAATATGAAATGAACAAGCATATTATGAGGCCATCATCTATTTTTGGAAGATTTCATACAGTTAAATGACTTTTAAGAGTGACATATGTGGAAGTTAAAAATACCTTGCCGATAACATTTAATGGCCATCAATGTACACAGATGTCTCTGTGTGTTTGTGTATGTGTCCCTTTCTCACTACGTGTATTGATGTTTCTAAGAATGGAGATAAATGGTAAAGCTGCTAGTATCATAAAATCAAAAGTAATCAAATTGTTATATTAAAGCTTATTTTGTAAAGGGTGTCAACATACGGTATATTGGGATGGGAAAAACTGTAAAAGTAAGTACCTTGCCCTTCTCTTAAACAAGTTGGTATCCTTTTTGAAAACAAAGCTGTATTCATCACTTTGTCCATAGGCAATGACAATTTCTCCCATCTCTTCCATCACTGCTTGGGCACACTTGTTCATCAAATTAAGAGCACAATCATCATTAGGTTTCTTAAAATCATGCTGATCAGCAAAGCTTCAAAATGAAAAGCATATAATTAAAAACACTTGATTTGTCGTATCTGTTTAAATAAGTCTCCTGTGTTACAGATACTGAAGTTTTGGTAGAGGCTATGATAGGGGCTTTGCCCTTTTAGTTGCAGCTGTACTTGGAACAATAGACCTTAGTAACAGTCTCTGCAGTGTGCTTTACATGGGGGCTGTTTTTGAAAGTACCCTGGAGTTGGTGAAAAATGTAGTAGCCTATTCGCTGGAAAATCAAAATCACAACAGCCATGTAACACACTATGGGTCCTGCATTGGTTGCCCATAGGTTTCTGAGTGCAATTCTAAGTGCTGGATTTCACTCATAAATCCCTATATGCTTTGGCTTCCAGGTATCTTTCCATCTGAAATTAACACATTTGGTGCATATCTGTCAACTGTCTTAAGAAGTTAACAGAGCAGGTGCTTGAAGAAAATGTTTTTCAGTTAAAGCCTCTATATTATAAGCACACCTCCTCTTAATCATATCAACATCCAATCTAATGACCTCCTTGGAAACTAGTAAAATCAGAGCTTTTCCAGAGAACATTTGGAGCATGATGAATGCATGCCATCTGTACAAATACAATATACTGTTTTATTCTTTTAAAACAAAGCATTGACAGTTCTTCCAAATTATTGCAGAATTAGGATATGAAAAACATTTAAGCTGCACTCCGTCTCATTTTACATAATGTTTTATTGTCATTATAAACTGTTAGAAGATAGTCATTAAACAGCTAAACCAATGCCATTTTAGAAGAGTAGTAATTTGCCAATAAAAAATATCAATTAGGAAGTGAAAAATTATTAAGAAAGTAAAACTTTAAAATTCTAAAACTAGGCGTGTAGAATATTACCCGAATATAAAATAGCTTTGCACTCTTGCAAGAGGTCAACTGCATTCAATGCTTTCACCTTGGATGCTAATATCGTTTTGAACTCTGGATAATGGCATCTGATGTTTTGGCGTGGGCAAGGAACAACTACAGAGAAAGGATTCTTCCCCAAAATTACAAATGTAATTAAAAGAAAAGAATATTTGTTAAGATTTGACTCATGTTTCTAGGTCCAATAAAAGCCCATCACCAAAGATCAGTTATGGTATTAAATATACATGCAAGCCAGAGGTGGTATTCAACAGGTTCCGACCAGTTCTGGAGAACTGGTAGTGGAAATTTTGAGTAGTTCGGAGAAACTGTAAATACTGCCTCTGACTGGCCTTGCCCCCATCTATTCTCTGCCAGTCCAAGCTGACTCGGAGGAAATGGGGATTTTACAGTATCCTTCCCATGACTGTCAGACTCTTAAACACAACCACAATCATTTCACGCACACGAGGAAACATATGACTACTTTTTTCTTTTTCTTTTCCGCTATAATTTTGCACCAGTGAGGTTGAAACCAATTTCGTTGTATTTGTTTTGTACAATGACAATAAAGACTATACTATACTGCCACACCCACCAAGCCACACCCACCGAACCAGTAGTAAACATTTTTGAATCCCACCACTGATGCAAGCGCAGTTACCCCCAAATTTGCAGCATTCAACAAACGCTTGGTAACTTTCAAATGTGTGAACTTCAATTCCCAGAATCCCCAGCAATGCCCGTATGAACTGATGAATTCTGGGAACAAAAGTACAGTATCTGCAGCCGGCGACGGCTGGGAAACGGTACCCCAAGGTGAAGTCGGGGAAGCCAAACGGCGACACAGATTTCACTTTGAACTGGCGCCGCCGATCTCGGCGATGACCCTCGCTCCTATTGGTCGGGCGGTCGCCGGGCAACCAAGCCTGTTAACTCCACACGCCGCCGCCAATGGTTGAAGCATGTCTTTACCGGTGGAAGCAGCGTCCGTCCAACCGCACCACGATCCAGCAGTTAGGTAAACATTTGTCCTCCGCTTCGAAATCCCGGACGTATTCGAACTTGCTCTTCGCCATGGCGGCTCGGACGTAACAGCGAAACCTTAATCTAAGGCCCAAAGTGACGGCAGCGAATGCGCCGCTAAGCCGAGGCCCTGGCAGCATTGCCGGAAGGAGCGCTGGGCGACACCGGAAGAGACGGGACTCTAACCCTTGCCTCTCTATGATATACCGTAAGATCACCCGTAAGATTACTACCGGCCCTTTGCCTCTTCCAGGCGTACGTAGAGGCGTCCGACCTAAGAAAGACCTGAGGCTGAGACCCGCCTTCGCGGATCGCGACTCCTCTCATCTCTCCCCCGCCATGTACGTTGACTTGTGGTTCCTCGGTGGGATGAGGAGAAAGGAGCAGATACGTGTGTGTATTTTTTTTTAAGTAGTCGCGAACCACCTTTCACTCGGTGGCAAACGGGGGCGAGGCCCAAACTCGTCCCTCGGCAAAAAAAAAAAGCGGCGCCACCGACGTAGAGTCCGTGTGCGCCTGTTCCCCCCCCTCCCTCGGTATCCAAGGGCGACCCCATTGTTACGTGGCGCCCAGGGTAGCCATGGCAACCTCCGGGCAACAGTCCAAGGAGGGAAAAGTGAGGCACGTGGAGCCCCACAAATTGCCATTTCTGGCCGACGTGCGGCAGGCGCGAGGCCCTCGCGAGCCAGAGGGCGGGGTCGAGAGCGGGCGCGTGCACCTCGGAGTTGGGGTGGGAGGGGGAGCGGAGAACGTTTGCAAGCCAACCGCAGCAAACAAACGGGCGGTAACAGAGGACCGGGCTGAGCTCACAATCCCGTAACAATCCTACGATCAAGGGCGGGCTGCGGCATGGAGAAAGGGGCGCAGGAGGAAGCCCCAAGAGAGCAGCACCGGCTGCTGCATTCCACGGCTTGGCAGAGCACTGCCTGCATGGACCATCTTCTCCTGCACCCTCTGCCAGGACAGGGGGGCAGGGACCCACACCTTCTGCTATTCCCTCCCAAACAGGCTCCCCAGCACCATCTTCTGCACCCCCTCTCTCCCAAACAAAGCGTTTTGCACAAGGAACAGAAACTTCCACAGCCTGGGGAAGGGGGGGTCTTTAAAGAGCAACAGCATGTTTTGGAAGAGCAGATTTGTCTTGGCAGGCAGCTTTCCCAGCCTGTCCTTGGGAGGGAAACTGGTGCCTATGAAAAGCAGGAAGAGGAGGAAGAAAACAGGCACCAGAAAGGGTTACAAGTGAAAGCGGAGGAACGTGAGCCGGAGAACCCATTGCTCTTTTTGGGAAGTAGCAACAAGAAAAAAAGACGAGAGTCTAAAACGCTTCCAAACCGTCTTGGAGGCAAAGATGAAAGTAGCAGCAGTGTGAAAAGTGTAGGGGAAGTCAAACTGGGGAAAGTTGAAGAGACAGAGGAGATCAAGAAGGAGGCAAAGTTGAAAGAAAACTGTGATGCCAAAGTCTTGGGATCTGCAAAAGAAGGGAACATCAAAACCGAACTTGTAGAGCCTCCCGAGGAGGATTGCAAAGGGAGGGAAGAAGTGGCATCGAAGCCTCAACCATCTGCCAGTGGTCCCACTCACATTAACCAGGATGTTAGTTTGTCTCAACCTCTGGGAACCCAGCATTCTCAAGAACTGAAGATTCCTGTTACACTCCATCCAGTCCCTGCAGGGACTAGGATCCAGTTTCAGGGACCACCTCCATCTGAGCTTATAAGAGTGACTAAAGTGCCAGTGACACAAGTACCCCTTAAAATGCAGTCCTTGCTGGAGCCTTCAGTCAAAATTGAAACTAAAGATGTTCCTCTCACAGTGCTACCCTCAGATGCAGGTATTAGAAATTAGTCAGAATTTATCACATTGACCATAAGCTGTTGTTCGTAAACATGGATTGAACAATAAGAGCTCCACTATTTTAAGGTATAAGACAGTGCACCGCACCCCTCAAAAGTTTCTGAGTCAGCAATTCATATACAATAGTGCATGTTCCAGTTCATGAATTCTATAAATATACAGGGATTATACTTCTCAAATTGTTTTACAGTTTGGGGTAGTGGTTAAGGTGCTGGCCTGGAAGCTAGGAGACTGAGTCCCACTTTAGGTATAAAAGCTAACTGGGTGGACTTGCGCCAGTCATTCTCTCAACCAAATCCCCCTTACAGAATTGTGAGGAAAATAGAATAAGGAAGGAGTACTATGTACATTTGCTGCCTTGAGTCATTTATCAAAATAATAAAGTGGGATAAAATATATGTTTGACAGTGGAAAAGAATAAAACTGCTTAAAATGTAATAGGCCTGTGTGACACTTCAAATTTGATTCCAAAAGATTCAGCTGCTTTAAAAAACTGAAGACTAGTTTACTTGTGCTCACACATGTCTTTGAAATTGAATAAAAAATGCTACACAGGCCTAAAATTTAACATTTCTTTTAGGATTTAATTTGACAGTAAAACCTATATTACCAATTCATAGAACCCTATGTTACAATAAAAGAGTTAGGCTTTTAATTATCACATTTGTATAGCCACACATCTCAAATGTAACACTGGGCAGTGTACAATAAAGTCAGAATGATAAAAACATCTGAAATAACAAAAACAATAAACCAGGGGTCTCCAACCCCTGGGCCGTGGCCCACTACCAGGCCACAGCCTGTTTGAAAAGGCAACCCTATGTAAAATGCATTATAGTAGTCTGTGAGTGGGAGAAGTGACCAGACCACAGATAATTGTGATCAAGGAAGTGGTACAATTAGGAATAAAAATTTAAGTTATTTGCTGTCTGTTTTAGGAGGAGCTAGAATAAGCCAATAGTCCTCCATTTTTTTTCTCACAGCTCACAAAACAAATTAGGTTGAATAAGGAGCAGGTAATGGGACATTCAGTGAAGGTCATAGCTAAATATGAATGAGAAGTCTCATATTCTAACATCTGTATAAATCTGGTTTGGTATCAAATGGCAGAGGTTTTATTCCTCTTAAGTATCTGCAATTTTATTTTAAAATAAATTTGTCTATGTCAACTGAATTTGGCTAGATGGCTAATAAATGCCTTTTCAATGATACATAGATGGAATTCTCAATTATTTAATATGATAGTGGAAATAGTGATGAAGTTAAAACCAGTCTTGTGAATTATATTTCATGGTCAATGAGAAAGAAGAAAACTATTTCCTGACCTCAGCTTTATGTTTTCTTTTGGGGAATATGTAGTGTTTATCATAAATTAAGGGGAGTCAGAAATATTCTGTCTTCCATCACTAAAGCCATTTATTTATACTGTATATAATTATAGATAGATAGGTTCAGATAATTAAATATTGGTTACCGTGCTTTTGGTACTAATTTCTTGCAGGCAATTCCATAGTTCACAGATGTTGATAGGTTCTGAATAAATATAGTTAAGGTTAGAATTTCACAACAGCTCTATGTTGATTATATGAGTGTCCATAAGACTTTTTTAAAAAAAATCTCCATTCCACAACTGTGTTACAGTATAACATGAGCAAGAGAAATCAGTATAGGGATACATGAATATGAATAGACTCTGTCCTATTGAGTTAGGGAACAAAGGGGAAAATATATCCTGTTTGTAATATTGGGAGGTAATATTCTCCTAAATAGAAATCCTGAGTGCAGGCATTTATTTTCATCCTTGCTCATATGTAAAAAGTTAAACACTGAAACTTCCACATGGCCCATCATAGAAAAGGAGCACCTTTACCCAAAGCTGTAAAGAAAAACTGGCTGCCATTGAAAGCGGTCCAGTATTAGGATTTTATGAGAGTCTTCCTGGATCAACACCACAAATGTAAACATCTTATTAGCAAGTAAATAAACCTACTCTTGAAAATATTTTTAAAATTTAATAAATTACTCTTTTTGGGGAACACATTTATAAAAGCATTTTTTATCTCGGTGGTATAGTATATGTGTTTTTATATGCTAAAGATTCATTTTTGGCAATCTTTTGTGGAAAAGTCCGCTACCTGAATTTCTGAAGTACTATCTGCTACTCAGTGTAGCTAGATAATATAATATTAGACAAAAATGGGTCATTATAAAGCAACTTTACATTTTACTATTAAAATGAAAGAAATGAGACTGAAAGTTTATTAATTTTTCTTTCATTGTATTTTAATATGGAAAGTATTTTATAAATGAACACTTTTACTTGAACTTTGTTGTACTGATTTTGTTTTGGGAAACTGAAAATTAGATACTTGTTCCACTATAAGGCTACAAAAAATAATTTCAAATACACTTAGAATATCTGCGTTAATAGAAACATGGTGTTGAAGGGGACAACATTATGCATTATGAATGTAAAAATTACTCTCTTCATTTAATATTTAAGTATTCAAAAAAATATTGGTTTTATGGCCAAATCATTGAAAAGTCACTGATACGTTGCAATAATGAAAAAAATAAATTACTGGATTAGATGCAGATCTGGCTTCTAGACAGGAGGTTTCTTATGTTTGTATAAATTTGTGATCATAATTAAAATATGATCTAAAAGTCTCAAACATGTTAGAAACAATGTCATTTGGTGGTTTATTTCAACATTCTTACTAAAATTAGAAAAGATGCAAAACAAAATTTCTGAACTATAACCTAAAAGAAGTGGACTTTTCAATTAAGAAAAATAATTAAAATAAATTGATTTTATACAATTTCATACTATGTATAAATGGATAAGGAGATGCTAAATGGGATTTGTTACATTTCTATCTGTTCTCCCAGAAGCTATAGGGTTTTCTGTCTCACACAAAACTCTTTGATGTAATTTTAGCTAACTCGGGTGTCAAACTCAAGTCGTCATGGCATCATCATGTGATGTATCAGGACTTTTTTCCCTTCATTAAAGGGCATGGACATGACCAGCATCTGACCCGTAGGCTGGGAGTTTGACAGCCCTGAGCTAAGGGATTCTACTGGCTTATTGAGGAATTGCAAACATTCAAATTCAGGTGTCTCTTAGTGCAATACTATAAAACACTTGTTTTATCTTGCAAGGAGCTTTCCAAGTGATTGGCAGTTGCATTTAAGTAGATAAATGGCTGCTTTACCTAATATTTAGTGAAAATTTGGAATTTGTTTCCATGAGTTACAATGTTGCTGGCTTGTTTAGAAGGGAACCCTTAGATTCCTAGATTGT